GGGGGGGGGGGATGTAACCACTCCTCCTTTGCTCCCCAGGTCTCAAGCATCAGACCTGCACGCTCGGGCGCCTTTTCTCCTGCCACCCACCTCCCCATCCCCAAAACGGAGGAGCCTGCCGATCCCACCATGTCGTCGGACCCCAGCGCCCCGCCGGCGGTGCCGCCCCTGCACTCCCCCAAGTCACCGGTGTGGCCCACCTTCCCCTTCCAGCGGGAGGGCAGCCGCATCTGGGAGCGGGGCAACCTCCTGCTGCGGGACCTGCCCAGCCCCCTCCCCACCAAGAGGACCAGAACCTACTCGGCGTAAGTACCCGGCACACAGCGAGCGGGGTTGGCTCTGGCTGAGCTGAGCAGGGGCCGTGGTAACCAGCAGCGCCTGCAAAACCCTTTATGCCCGGTGCACGTCGCCATCGCGGCGCCTGGCATCACCTGGCCAGGGTACTGCAGATGGGTGCCATGCCCTCTCCCCGGGAACGCCGTGTTTCCATAGCAAACCTCTCCCTGTGCTGCCCCCAGAGTGCCACCGGTGAGACATCTCCATCCCTTTTGTGAGACATCTCCATCCCTTTCCTCCCGCAGGACAGCACGCGCCTCCGCCGGCCCCATCTTCAAGGGTGTCTGCAAGCAGTTCTCTCGCTCCCAGGGCCACGGGTTCATCACCCCTGAGAATGGCACAGAGGACATTTTTGTCCACGTGTCTGAGTAAGTCTGGGGGGGTCACACGGTGCCGGGACACCCTGGGGGAGCTGTGCCATCAGCATGGGGCTGGAGACCCGTGGGCTGAGGATGTCTTCGTGGGGTGGGGATGGGGCTCTGTCTGTCCTCTACCCCATCTCACCGGTGGGTTTTCTTCCCCAGGGTGTAGCTGGTGGGTCAGGTGCCTTCCTTGGTGATGGATGGTCGGGGGTGGGGGTCTGGCTTTTGATCCCAGCCCCACCACCTCTCCTCTCCTCTCTTGCAGCATTGAGGGGGAGTACGTCCCAGTGGAGGGGGACGAGGTGACGTACAAGGTCTGCCCCATCCCTCCCAAGAACCAGAAGTTCCAGGCAGTGGAGGTGGTCCTCACCAACCTGGCACCCCACACAAAGCACGAGACGTGGTCTGGCCAGATCATCGGCTCCTAGGCGCCCAGTGGGGGCTGCCGGCCACTTGGCCCCGGGCAGCTCGGCCCCCTGCCTGGCTGCTTGTGGGGGGCTCAGGGGGAGCCATGGCAGCGACGGGATCGGGGCTGCCCCCAAACACGCAGGCGTTTGCGTTCGGTGTCTTTTATAAGGTTACGGTTTCCTTTCTCTGTGTGTGTTTGTAACTGTCTGTCAAGGGGAACAGGGGAAGCAGAGGCCTCCCCTGCCACCCCCACAGCTCCAGGGGCAGCACTGAGCCCCATGTCCCCTTCCTTGCCCCTCAGACCACGGGGAGCAGGGGAACCAGCCCTACCCCCTGGCCCCCTGGCTGCCCCAGGCTGAAGCAAGTGCTAAGAGCTGGAGGGGGCTGTGTGGAGGCTGGGGGTGCTCATTTCGTCCTTCGGAACCCTGCTCTGGCAAGATGACCACCCCACTTGGTCCCGCTGCCGAGGATGAGCAGCGAGGCATGCCATGGGGCTGGGGGAAAACGGGGCAGCGTGGGGCGGCGTATCACTGTGCGGGGAGTGGGTGGCTGAGACCCATCCCCATCACTGGCAGCTCACAGCACCTGCCTGAGCCACGTCCTTCCATCAAAAGATCTCAGGTCAGCAGTGTCACGGGGAGGTAAGTGGCTTATGGAAAGAAAAAAAATTAATTTTAAGGGGTAAATGGCTGCTGGCAGGGTGCTAGGGCGCTCAGCGTTGTGCCCGGGGGGGCTGGGGGTGCACCTCTGTTCTCCCCGCTGGGTCAGTAGCACACTTTTCTTGGCTCGGTGTTGCCATTGTTTTGGGGAGATGGCCACCTTCTCCTCCTCTCCTCCTTGTGCCCCCAGCCCCTTGGGGACCCCCTTTCCCACGCGTGTGTGCATGTATGTGTGTGTGCGTGTGTGTGCGTGTCCGTAGCTTGCCGGGGGGGGCAAGGGGCTGAGGGCTTTGGGTAGCCTTGGCCATGGGGCAAGTGCAGCTGCCTCCTCCCCAGCCCCTCGGTGTAGGCAGGGTCTCATATACAAAGCACAAACTTCATTTTTGGTCTTCTCTGCCATACCCTGGCCAGGTGGGCTCCTGCAGCCCTGGGAGGGACGGGGCAGAGGGCAGTGGGACAGGGACAGCGTGCACTGGCCTGGGTCCGAGCTGACCCCAGGAAAATGGTGCCTGCACCAACGCTCCAGAGATTATCAGCATCTTAAGGGGTTTATTTTGAAGCAGGGCAAGCACCCCCCACCCTGACAGCCAGGTTCCCAGGCACCTACTCGTGGGAGCCCCTGGTGCTGCCAGTCCCCAGCACTGATGCAGAGGGGCATTTTCCACCTTTCTTGCTGCCACTGTTGCGATGGGGACAAGGGTCTGCCATAAGTGGGGAGAGGAGGGGGGCAAGGCTGGTGCCACGTGGGACAGCTGGGGCCCTAGTGGATCTGGTAAGATCACCGCGTGCTGCCCCATCCCAGGCTGGTTTGGGGACTGCCCTGGGACCCCACAGCCCATCTCACTGCCAACCTGAAGCCCAGGTCACCCAGGGGATGCAGCAACGCCGGCTCATGCCCCAGGCATCCCTGGGACACAGAATCAGCTTGGCCAAGGCAAACTTTGATTCTGTTTTTTTTTTCCCCTCTCTGTTTTTTTTGGGAAATAAACTAAAACCCTAGACTTGTTGGTGTTTTTACAACTCCGGTGTAGTTCCCGCCTGTCTGACCGTGTGTCAACCTTTGTAACATTGGCAATAAACCATTAAAAGTGACTTTCCCATGAGCCCTGCCCATCCCGGCTCTTTGTCCTGTGTGCCTGTGTCGCAGTGGGGGGACGCTGGTGGCTCTCCCGGGTTAAGGACCTGCAGCACCCAGGGATTTATCCAGACAGCAGGATGGACTCACCCACCTCCGCACAGCCATGTTCTGGGGGAGGTCTGGAGTGCTCCAGCCTTGTTCTGGGGGAGTGAACCCTTAGCCTGGGATGGGAGGTTGCTGCTGCCCACCAGGAGGGATGACCAGGACCGGGGGTGGTCCCCCACTGCTGCAGGGGTTTCAAACTGCAGCTGCCTGACATCTGGCCACGTTTTGCCCCAGCAGAGCCCAGCAAAAAGCACACGCTGCCTCCAAGTGCTGCATGTGGTACCTTTAATACTCCATTGCTTTTATTTTATTTTTTTTAATATACATATATTTATGTATTTAAATATATTTCTTATTTAACAGTTGGTATCAGCCAGACAGGAGCCGCCCGTCTCGCAGAGATACGGAGCCGTATGGCACGACGGTCCCCAATGCGGGGCCCACCACATCCACTTGTTCATGCACACATGGGGAGAAACCCCCACTCAGAGCACGGGCACCCACTGGGAGAGGAGCATCACGGCAAAGGGGTCCCAGGGACAGGCATGCACTGTCCCCTGGGTGTAGGGCGCTCCCACCCCAGAGCTGTGCCTCATCCCTGCATGCAAAACACAGGGCAGGCAGCCAGGACTCTCGGTGGCTCTGAGACCCTGGGGCTGCCCCAGCTACTTCTGATGCCATCCTTCCACCAGGACAGGGTCTCCCGGCAGGACGTGCCCTCAACTAGATCAAGCTTGGTGTAAGAGAGAGAGGAATGGGGAATGTTCCTGGACTTGATCTTACCCATGCACACGTGAGCTCCTGAGCAGAGAAAGCAATGGCTGATGCCTCCAAGGTCATCCCTGCCTCTGCCCTGCTCGCCCAGCAACTCTCCCCACCCTGAGCAAGGGACATGCTGCCGTCAGGAGCAGCCTTGGACAAAGCCTGCCCTTCCCTTCAAGCATGCAAGGCATCTCAGCCACCATGGTGCCTTCAGGGCCAAGCCCTGCTCTTCACCCACCACCAAGCTCTCTAGAGATCCTGCTGACTTTGAATAGACTTACAGGAAAAATAAACACTCAAACCCACACATAGCCCGATCCACAGTGACACAGAGAAGGAGGAACCACAAAACACACAATTCCTCCATGAAAGTTGCAGAGGAGGGTCAAAACCAGTGGACTGCGAAAAGGGTACCCAGCATCCAGGCTTCCCCAACAGGTCCTCTTCTCCCATGCAGACATTTTCTCTGGGTAGAAAGAGGAAATTGTGCATTTGTTGGGGATTTCCAGATGCTGGGCAGACCGCTGTGCTCATGCAAATGCGATGCATTACAGACCTGATGTGTTGTAGGGTTAAGAGGTGCAGTCAGGTGAAGGAGAGAGCACCCCACCACTGCTGGTCATACAGCACCCCTACTCCTGCTGCCAGGCATTGGTGCCAAGGTCCACTCAGGACTCTGCCCGTGGCAATATGGGAGCCCTGGCCTGGGTCTAAAAGCACCAACGTATCTCACCTGATGAACTTGGCCCTTTGGTTAAGTGGCTGTAGCCAGCTAAGAAACTTCTCTCTGCAGTCCAGCTGCTGGGTGGGAGATGAGGAGCAGCGGCAAGGAAAGCAGGAAGAGAAGAAAAAGGGAAAACAAGACCAAGAGATGGGGCAGAGCCATACCACCAGGGATGTGCTGAGAAAGGCTTCCAGGGAGCAATGTGTTGAGCCTTTGCAGAAACTTCTGGCACCCTCCAGGTCCAGAAACACCAGACATGTGTGACCGGGGGAGTTACAAGCGGGACATCTGCCTGGAGAGGATCCCTGAGCTCCTGCTGAACACAGAGTTGTGACAGCATCACTGCTGTGGTCACACACCCCAGCAGAAAGGCCAGGAATAAAGAGGCAAGTGTGAGAGAGGAGGTCAAGGGCCAAAGGAGAGATGTGATTTTGCAACCCACAAAGACCCAGGAGAAGAGATGAGCGGGAGGATACATGTCAGCTGCACTGGAGAGCTTGCATCCCTAAAGGTGACCATCTAAACCAAACATGTGGGACAAGATGGGGTGGAAAAGCAAGCTTGGAGGCACTGTTGAGTATGTACCTCAGTTGGCACTAGAAACCAGGTCTGGCCTGCGCTGGTCCTCTCTGAAAATGTCTCTGGGAGCATGATGGAAAGCTCAGCACTGGGATGGAAGGGGGTCTTGCTCTGTTATGAATGCCCCGGGTAAGGTTTTGCACTGACACATCCATAATGCCTAATGGACACGTGGGTGGGAAGACTGTTGGGAACCTTCTGCCCTCAATGACTCCACAGGGTGCTCTGCAGACACCAGGCACTTGGGGACCTCCAGCCACACCAGGCAAGGTCTGACCTGACAACTGCAGAATATGGAAAATAAAACCATGATGGCCTTTTTTTTTTTTTTTGTAAGCTAAAAAGAGAATTAGTTTCTTCATGCACCTGAGCAAAGCTCAGAGCAGGAGCAGACTCATTTTAAAACCGTCATTCCCAGGTCACCTGTAGGGACTGACACAGCGTGGCACCGAGGTGAAGGACATGGTGATCCTCTCCATTAGGATGCACAATGCTGCAACACGCAGAGGGGTCACAGCTACCCCTTCCTACCATGGGGTTGGAGCGAACAGCCTTCCTGGCCTCTTGCTTTGGATCAGCTCTGCTGAGAGGGCCTGGGGCTTCACAGCCCCATCCTCATCAGACAAGGTGCAAGGGGGAGAGAAAGGTGAGACACATGTTCCCTCATGCAAAAGTGTTCAGAGAAACAGTGAAAAAGAAGAGAAGAGGGGAGGGTGTACAAGGACGGACACACACACTCTTGTGACTGGCCCTTTCAAATGCTTTCTGACCATGAAAGCATCTGCATTGCCACCCATCATGGACCAAACTGTCCAGAGAGAAGTTTTGCTGGAGATAAGGAAGGTCACAAGCCCCAACCGTAGATGGGGAGTGCCAAAGGGCTGCTCAGCAAAGGCCTCCTCTTGCACACCCACCCACATTCATGTGTTACATCCCAACCAGGTCTGGAAAGTGTTTGGTTTTTTTCAGTCCACCCTGAGCAGATTCCTCAAATGAAGGTGCTTTTCCTGGCAGGGGTAGGGGAGGTGGGGCTGGGGCAGGGCTGTGGGGACCTGGCAGTCAGCACTCGTTTGCCCTCTCTGGAAAGAAGATTTCACGGCATCGCTGGACCGTGTCCTGGGGGGACTGCACGCTGTGTCCCACTGTGCGGGGATCATCATAGATTTCATAATCGTTCCCTCCCTGCAGGGGAATAAAAAAAAAGGGAAAGCGTTAGCTGGGTCGTGCCAGAGCATCCTCATCCATGAATCTATATCTTCCTCTGTCCTGTGAGGATCTGGGGTGGGAGGAAAACAATTCTGAGGTGGTCCTGCTCCCCAGCACAGTTTCCTCATGACATGGCCAGCTTGCCACCATCACAAGCCCACCACAAACGTGCTGCATGAGAGTGTCTCTCCCCCTCGCACAGCTAGAGGTCTGTGTCGGTGTGATGGAGCAGATCCCCACAGGCTTGCCAGGCCAAAGGGGAGAAAGTGGCCACATGTGGGGCAAGTGGGGCGTACTCACAGGGGTTGTCTCATTCCCGAAGAAGTGGATGGTGTCAAATCTCTCATCGTCGAGCACGTTGAGGCAGTAGCGCTTGTCCCAGCCCTCCGGGAAGACATCAAAGCTGATCATGCCACCTGCCATCATCAGAAGGGAGGGAGTCAGGCAATGTTGGTGGGAGCTGGTAGGGTGTCCCCCAACTCCAGGATGGGCAGAAGGGGAGAGGGCTGGATGGGTGTGGGAAGGCACAATCCCCCCCCCAAAAAAAAAACAGAAGCCAGGCACTGGGTTGGCCTTGATGTGCCTCTCCTGTATGTGGCTAGGACAGTGACAGATGCTGTTCCTATAACAACAGGCTGGAGTGACATCAGCATGGCTGGGGTGACATCAGCACAGCTCCCCTGCCTGCAGGCAAGCACGAAAGCAGGAACCATCAGGCTGCAGAGGGGGAGGGATGCTGGGGTGGGAGGTCCCAAGAGATAACTCTGTTGGAGGAGATTTGGTGTTATGCCTTGCGGACAGCATCAGCATGTTCTGTCCCCCAACAGGGGAAAGTGTCCTTGGAGACTGGCACCAAGCTCTCTCCTAGACTCCTGTGCGGGGGTGGATGGCACTTCTAAAACCACTGCTCTGACACTCTTTAACCCTTCAGGGACTGCACAGGCAAAGCAAACCCCATGACAGCTCAGGGATCCCAGCTGGCCACACAGCAGGCCCCGGGCAGGCCCTGCATGCTGGGCAAGGACCAAAGACCTTGCCATGGAGGTACCACGAATGCATCGACATAGTCAGGGCACAACCCTGGCCTGTCACCTCTTGCCAGAAGAGCCAAGTGTGGGTTGCCAACATCTGGAGGGGCACCAAGGCAGATGGGACAAACACAGGGAGCTTTCCCAGAGACCATGCAAATGTGCACAGGGACATCCACAGCCACCGAGGGTTTATGGATGTCCTAGCCATGGCTCTTAGACCAGGCAAAGTTCACCCCAGCTCTGTGCTGCCTTTTGGAGGTGCACAGAGGCAGCACGTTCCCCCTCCTCTCGAACAGACCCGCTGTGTGCACAAGCTGTAAAGCCAGTCCCTTGTCACAGCACTGACACAGGTGAAATGCTCCTCCCAAAACAGAGCCTGTGACTTAGGGTACATGTGCGTTCAGCTCTCACTGGGAGCTGAAGGAATGGGGATTTGAGCTGGGATGTGTCTCTCCCTGCCAGGTCTCTGCTCTTTTTGGTTTCAAGTAGGCTCCCCTGCTCCTCTAGGCAATCTAGCAGGCTCCCAGCAATCCTGGGGTTTCACACTCTCCTTCTTCATAAATCATAACCCCATCTCTCTTAGGAAAGGGTTAAGTAGACAGGTATCTGCAGGGGATGGTCCCTGCTGCCTGACGCTGTCCTCCTCTTCTCCCTGGCTGGTTGAGGTGTCCCCACTGGCTCAGAGGTCCCAAACCAACCCTTCTCAGAGCCTGAGGAGCTGGGGATGGAGCCTGTGTGTCCAGCTTGGGCCAGAGGATTCACTAACAGAGAGGATGTCCCAGGCAGGGCACTGCGATACGGACAGGAGCAAGTGCCCTGCAAGCTCAGGGATGGGGATGCCCCCAGGCTTGCAGCAGGAGCTAAATTTGGCTGCCCTCATTAAAATCCCTCCTGGTTTTGTACCAAAAGCTATTTACTTAAGAAAAACACTGTATTGCACTGCGTTCTGGCCTTTAAACAGAGCTGGGCAGCAAGAGTGGGATCCTGATGCCAGCTGGAGAGGGCAGGAAATCAAAGGAAGAAGAGGTGGTATGGAGGACAGCCAGCACTGTGTCCCTCGCCTTGGCACATCATGGGTCCTGAGGGGGCTGCAGGGAGATCTCCTACCACCTCTAGGCTTGCGTCCTTGTCCTGGTTTGAAGACCACAGCATGGGACAAGGCACGTGGAGCCAGCTTGGTGGAAGAGCCCTGTTTCCGCGTGTCCCTGTTTTTGGATGCTTGACCTGAGACACCCTGCGTTTTCTTTGTGGAGGAGCAGGGGACCAGCAGCTCCCCTTGTCTTCATGCTTTTACACAACAGGCCCAGGCTCTTCATGGCAGCTTCCCAAAGTCAGAGGAGAAAGGCCTGTTGTTCTGCTCTTGTACCCCGTGCCTGTGGGGACATGGCGACGAGGACCTTGTCTTTCTCTGCTGTGACAAATGGTGTGTGTCAGTGCTGTGGGCAGCAGAGGATGCCCCTGGCAGGAGAAGGGGAGGGGAGGCTCTCAGGAGTCAAATGCTTGGAAGACCAGAGGGACAGACTCTCGGTTCTGGTCCACGCTGGGTACAAGAGTGGGGTGTCACATGCCACCTCCCAGCCTTGTCACCCCCTTGCCCTCTGGCTAGACTGCCACAGCACAACTTCTTATCTCACACATACCCAACCCCTCTGCTTCAGCCCTACCACTTACACACCCTCATTTTCTCTCCCTGTGCTGGCCAGACCCCGAAATTGCTCAAGCCTCTCCTTCAGTTCCTTGTCTTCGGTAAGCTGGCTGTAAGAGCCACCCCAAGAAGCAACCCTGCACAAGCCCATGGCACGCAGCTGCAAACTCCTTGCCTCTCAGCAGCTCTTCCTCCAGGAAGAAAGATGCTTCCCTCGTAGCCAACCCTCCCAAGAAAACCTTGGAGCCAAGACACGAATGAGGCTCCTGTCTCATTCCTAGAGAGGAGTGTGTGTGGCTGGAGCTCTGCTGGCCACCCTGCTGATGATGCTTGGGCCAGAACAGACCTCCTGGGCAGAGGTGGCATCCACAGAGCTAAGTGAAATTCAGGCAGGCATAACATCACAGGACAGAAACCTGCCTGTCCAGCTGATTCCCAGGGAAGCAAGCCTGTAGTACTGCTTATTCTCTGCTGTTGCCCAGCCGCAGATGTGAACACGACACGCCTGTGGTGACTCTCCAGGACTAGAAGTTCCTTCTGCTCTTCCTGGGGTCTCCAAGCCAGGATTTCCACTCCCCTTCCCAGCATTTTATGGGAACACAGGATAAAGAAGGGAAGCCCCCTCTACTCACCTCGAGAGAAACGCAGGCCTTTGCCAGCAAACTCCCTCTGCAAGGCTGCCACAAACTTCTCCCGGATCCGCTCTTTCTATGGAGAAGGAAGAAAGGGAAGGAACAAGGGTTTGAATAATTAGATGTTGACAGTCTTCCAGAATCCACCATAAGCTGTCCGCTGGGAAGCTCTAGCTTATCACATTCCCCCTTCCCACCTGCCCCAAGCCCCAGTGTAACACCACTTAGCCAGCTTTCACAAGTCCTGCCCAGGGTCTGTGTAAAAAGCCACCAGCTCAGGGCAGCTCCAGGAGACTCCTGGGAAAACCGGATCCCAGCCTTTCCTTGGCAATGAAATGCAACTGCTTAGTTTTTTTCCAAAAGCCCAGTTCATAACCCAAAGTCTTCAGCTTTGCTTAAAAAATCTTGCAACCGATCCCTCAACCCCAAGAAAGCTCCCCCAGGCAGAAACTACTGTGAGCATGGGCCGAGTGCTTCAGAGATCTGCCCAGCAGATCCCCCATGGCACTACCAGTCTGGAAAGCCCGTTAGTTCCAGTTCTGCTGGGGCTGGGAGAGTGGGAGAGAGAAGACAGCTGCTGGGCCATCTACTGTAAATTGGGAAACACCCTGTTAAATAAGTCCCTTATTCCCTGAGGCTCTCCCACAGCAAAAGGAATCCTGCTGGCCACCCCATTGTGTTGGTCCCCAATGAAGCCAAATTCTTCCTTTCATCTATGTCTCTCCTTGGGTTTTCTGACCCCCTCTGTTTCCACCTTGCTGCACGTGTTGGCCTGCTGCACAGCTCGAAGCTGTGCTTCCTTCTCCTCAGGGGGAGAAGCAGGGGGAGAAAGCAGGTAAGACCTGAGATCTGTGGTGGAATAAAAACCAGCAAAGGGGAGGGCAAGCCCGAGCCTGGCCCTTGTACCTTGTCCAGCTCGGAGAACTCGATTCGCTCCTCTGGCGTGCAGCTCCGTCCGATGGGGGAGATGTTTAGCATCCCATTGCGAAACTCGATGAAGGTTCCTCTGTGGGTGGGCAAGGGCACAAGGTTACTGGGGCAGGGAGTGAAAAACAGACCTTTCCATGGGAATGGCTGCTCGGTGAGGCACACAGTGTCTGCAGGGACACGCAGGAGGAGAGAAGCCATGCCCACTCATGGGTGCTTACACGTCAGAACCTCTAAGGTTGCCCAAGGGCCCTGCTGCAGCAGGCAGAGACCAGGCTTCAACAACTCTGCTTAAGGTCTCCAAGGGCTCATGGTTTCATAAAGAGACCATAAGAGAAGAGGAATAAACAGGCTGGAAGCAACAAGCTTAGGTGAGATGACAGGAAACATTTTCTAGTGTCACAGCTGCAATGACAGCTGTTGCCTGGACTAGACCAAACCACTTGACGAGACTGTGGTGTTTCCACCCTTGGAGGCTTTTAAGAAACACCAGGTGGGTTGTGTGAAGCTGGCAGTGCCTTGGGGCAGTGGGATGGAACAGGTCAGTGTAACTCACCACTGACGTCTGGCAGCAGGCTGGCGAGCAATCTCCTCCTGGGACACAAATCAGGAGGGCCTTTGCATCTCCCATTTAGTCTCCTGCACCTTTGACAGCAACTCTAAGCTTGCATGGACAGAATCCAGTTCCTGCTTGCCACCCTCATCTTCCACTGGGATAACTACTCTGCCACTTCCTCGGTGGGCTGGTTCAAAGCACTAAGCTGGCAGGAAAATACTCCCTTCTTTTCTCCTTGCTACAAATCCAGCCAGTTCTGTTTGTTTATCACCTTGGAATAGCTCACCAAGGGGTCAGACAGGTACCAGCACTGGTCCACAGGAGGGGCAGAAACAACAGGGGATGGCAGCACTGCCAATTTGAAAACAGACTGAAATTCTTGTGGAAACCTAGCTGGAGCAGGGAGATCCCTTCCCTGTCCAGCTGAGGAGCGCTAAGCTCATTAACCCTGTAATGTTCAGCTGAGGAGCCCTAAGCTCATTAACCCTCTGATGTCCCTCCCATCCCTCCTCTGTGATAAAGCGCTTACCGCTCTCAGCCTGGAGGAAAACTTTCCACCTCCTGCCTCACTAATACCGTGAAGAAGATGACAGGGAACAGACAAAGGGACAGCCACTCCTGCAGCCAGGGAGCAGCATCTCTGCAGCACCAAGGGTTTGGTGGTTCCTACCCCAGGCCAAGACCCAGGAGACGTGGGTTAAAGTCCTTGCTTTGCTAGCAATCCCATAAGCCTAAATCCACAGAAGCACTTGCGAGCTGAAACTCCGCCGGGCTGTTGGGCAACCAGGCAGCAATGAGGCAACCAAAGAGCCCCGAGGGTTCTGGGTGTCCCAGCCCGTGCTTCCAGGGGCACATCCCGCTGGCAGTCCTGTCACAAGGAGCCACCCTGGCCCCTTCTCACCAGTCCTCATATTGCCACATGGTGACTCATATCGGGCAACTAAACATGGATCACAGTTTAGCAACTTTTACCAGCCCAATTTTGAGCAGACAGCTCGCCCACTCGGGTCCATCATGCACACACAAGGGGAGAGGCAGGAACAAACCAGCCAGGGCAAGAGCAGGGCAGAGCTGCTGCTTCCAAGAGTCCTGCTGGCTCACACTGGCTTCAAGAATTTGTGAAACCATGGTCTGAGGGGTGGTTTGATGCTGCATCCAGGCTGGTTTAACTGCAGGCTGCCTCTCAAAGAATCATATCATAGAATCATATGGGGTTGGAAGGGACCTCTGGAGATCATCTAGTCCAACCCCCCCACCAGAGCGGGTCTACCTACAGGACATCACACAGGAACTTGTCCCGGCGGGTTTTGAATGTCTCCAGAGAAGGAGATTCCACCACCTCTCTGGGCAGCCTGTTCCAGTGCTCAAAGAGGTCCTCCTGCTCTCCTCTTCCACCTTCATGCCATCTGTTCCCTTTCTCTCTTTTTTGTGATAACAGGGCAAGCCTATTCAATGGAAAATTACCCTTTTCCTTCCTGGCAACGGCCTAGTCTTCCTTCAGAGGAAGGTACCGACCCAACTCACCCTGCAGCTGCTGGATCTCATGGGGGGAAACAGACAGGAAGACACAGCCGGGAGCAGAGCAGGGCCAACCCTGTTACCAGCAACACTGAGTTAGAAACAGCGTGAAACTGTGTGCTCAGGCGCTGGACATCCCATCTTAAGAACCATTGTTCCTCTGTTTGCAAACTCATACAACTAATGATGCCCGATACCCTGGCCAGTAACGAGCTGGTACCATTGTCCTAAATGAGATGCAAGCAATGGCTGTACCCTAATGCAGGCAGTGGCTGTACCCTGCTCCCCAGGGAAGAAAATCTGAGGGGCAAAAGAACAGGCACTATGCTAAAAAACAGCGCAGACTCTCCAGAAAAAAGACCCCCCCCTCCATTATTTGCCTACAGTGATCCTCCACAGGGCCTCTAGATGCTAAGATAAAACCTGGAGCAAGACAAGCTCAGTAGCTCAGCTGTTCTTAAGAGAGCTCTGGAGCCCAGAGCTCCCTAGAAATCAGTGCTATGACTGCCATTTGCATGGGCTTGGGCCATTACCGTTTCTTGGGCAGCTTCAGCAGCGCCATGTAGTTGAGACAGAAGTTGATTAGATCCTGCAGCAGCTCTTCCCCCAAGTGGTCCTGAATGGCCTGCAGGAGGAGAAGGGGGAGTGAGGAAGATGCCTGACCTCCCCTGAAGCCCACCCGAGAACATGACCCAAAGGATCGGGACATTCAGATGTGGTATTTGGGGAAAAGGGAGGAAGCTGCCCATCTGCCCAGGGCCAGGTGCTGCTCCCTATGGCACGTGGGGCATGGGGAAGGAGAGCCATGGCTGCAAGGGGAGCTGGACCTACCTGCTTGGAGACCAGCTGCCCGTTCTTGTATTGCACCGTGCCATTCTCAGCGAAGACGTAGTCAAACTTATCGATGACTGAGGGGGGGAGGAAGCAAAAGAGGGAACATGAGTGCTGTCTGGGAAAAGGGGCCAGAAGGACTGGGCTCAGGACTGAGCGAGCCATCATCCCGGTTCCTTAGTGCCATGCTTTCCCCATCTCCCGTGCTCCGCAAAGGGCCACCAACCATCCTCCCTCCTCACTCTCCACAAAGCAGGGGAGGAGATTATCTTCTGCTCACAGGTGGAGAGCTGACGCAGGCAGGGGGAAACGACCTGACCGAGGTCACGGGCTGAATCAGTGGCAGGACAAAGATAAGGGCTCCAAAATGTCAGGCTTTCAACCACGTGCGCCTTCCTCTGCTCTCTCTCCCCCCTTCCCCGCTGGAAGGGTGCTGGGGTGATGCTGCCACTGGTTATCTAACTCCAGCCCCTCCTGCAGCCCGGACACACAGCGCTGCCGACTCAGCAGCCGGGGATTTCTTGGCCTCCCCCCGCTAAGGAGGCAGAGCCGGGAGCCCAGCCACGCTTGGCATCCATGCCAGAGGAGGGAAACAAGGTGGAGGGGGCTGCCCCCTCGCCCTCCCACTATCTCCTCTACCCCACGTTCCTCTTCAAACATGATGAGGAACCCACCGGAGACCCCACCGTGGAGGCAAAATCTGCAAGGGGCTTTGGGGGGGAGGGCAAAGGGTGGGAGCTGTCAGAGCCCTGATGAAGCTTGTGGGGAGCTGGAGCTGGCTCGGAGCATCCCTGCCCGCTCTCCGCAGAGGAAGAAGGAGCCGTGGGGTTTAGGATGGAGGTGACCCCCCAGGGGAAGGTTTGGGGAAGGGGG